GGGAAAAAATAAGAACCAAGATGCATTATGTAAAGGTAAAATTCCCAATGAGAAATGTAATTGTGTTGTATACCTACAATGTACCAATAAAAGAATTTAATATAAAAAAAAGAACCAAGATATATCATGTAGAGGTACAAATTCCCAATGATGAATGTCATCATATTGTACACCTAAAATGTACCAATAAACTTAATGAATTTTAAAAAAATATGCAATACAGTGTTGGCAGTGTGATTCCTGCAATGGGGCTGGGGGCAGCATCAGCCCTGAGTTGGAGAAAAGAAGGATTCAGGGTAGGGTCCTCAGGGCAGCCATCTGTGCACATGATGGTTACCAGCTGACAGAGGGCTGAAGGAGAGCAGCAAGGTAGGCACACTTAATGGCTCTATCAAGACTGAGTGACTAGCAGTGTGGAAGACCAAGAGTGATCAGAATCTGCTTCTACTCCATCACTGGGTACCTCCTCCTCAGGGTCAAGGCAGTGGCCACCCAGCTCTGCCAGCCCACCTGAGTGTGAGGACCCCTCCCTACCTGCTTTCCTCGAGCTGAGAGGCCTGAGTCACCTCCGATGCGACCTCTGAGGTTGAGTTCACTCTCACCATGCCGGCATAGGTAGATGGAACGTGGCGTGACGTGGATGTTCATGAGGTAGTAGACTGTACGGCTCTGGACGTGGTCTTGCACTCGGTTCACCATGTAGCGGGTGCCCACATCAAAGATCTTGATGTAGGACAGATGGCTGGGCCAGATGCAAGCAGGAGCAAGGGCAGCTCAGGAGCTACCAGTAAGGAGGGGTGATCCCAAGAGAAAGCCCCAACCACACACCCTGCTTTCAAGTCTCCTCTGTAATCCAGCTCTTATCTAATGAGCCATGCGTTGACCTGTTTTGAATATAGGTCCTAGAGAGTTAGTTCCTGAACACCCCAAGTAGCTCACTGCCTGCTACTATCTCCCCCAGTCTTCCTTCCTCAGCCTCAGATTAAGCCAGGTTGTTTTTTCACCTTTACCCTTCACAACGTAAGCAGCTGGGGTTCTCTCCTCTTTAGTTCACACTTCTGTCACAGAGAACCAGTGATCCTCTGTATCCCTGGCTGTCTCTCAACATTTCACTGGCAGCTCTTGTCTTGTTCATTTCTCCATGCTTTTCAATTCTAAACTGAACTCCATCCCCCTCTTTCGTTGAGCCTCAATTATAATACATTGTACTTTATACTCTACAGGCATTTACAAGGTTGTGTCTATGTGTGCTTGCATGTGTGTATCTCTCTTCACCCTTAAGTGGATTAGGCTGAGTTATTTCCCTGTTTGCTATGCAGTCCACAAACATCCTCTTCTTTTCAAAGTATTATGCTTGGAATGTACAGCTAGCACCTGCACTTTGGGAACTCTTAGGCAAACACATATACTTGGAAACGTATGATCAATGCTCAACATTCACTTCACAAACACCCATTATAAAATGTGCCAAGTACTGGGACATGGGAATACAGGAGTGGTCCACAACATCATTGAGGAACTTATAGCCCTTGCTCAAAGCTCCTTGTTGTTCCCTCATTTTTGTGCTATGTCATAAACTAATAACTACACGCTGAGTGACAAACTATTCAACCACCTGTGTGTGAGGAGCTTGGGGGCAGGGTGAAAGTACTGACTAATCAGAAAACTAGAACTATGGAGCAAGACTCCTGAGACGTCTGCTATGCCAGCCATTAATCCTTTACATGTTAGACTGTAAGTCCAGATAGATCCATGGAAGGCTGGGGCAATGAGATGACAACAGTGGCCCTGGTTGCACAATAAGAAAACCAACTGAATAGAAAGAGCTATACTAGCCCAAGGCAGCTAAGGCTGCTTAGGGATTTGGTTTTAGAAAGCCTCTCCCTTGATCTTGCTATCACACTCATCATGCCCAGCCCTGTGATTCATATCCAGTTGTTGCATTTATTGAACATGTTCTATGCATATGGGAAGGAGTGGGAATTTTAAAGTGTATGAATCCTCATAAGCATCATACAGAGAAGTGATTATCATATCTGTTTTATATATTTGAAAAACTGAAGCTCAGAGGATGCAGTTTTCTTAAGGGCATCTCAGGGAGCTGCCAAGAAGAATGCTCTTTTCTCCAATCATCTTTCCTAGGACTCAGAGTCTAGGAGTAGAAAATACTTGATATAACTTTTCTGCCTAGTTACTGCCTGTTCCTAACACTAGGTCCTGTGTGACTCTAGGAAAACTTCCAATTTCTTCAGTTTAATGTTGGTTTTACCTCATAGTCCAAGCCATACCCCTAACTTCTCTGTTTCATTCTTATCTTCATGCCTTTGCCGTTACACTTGGAACATTCTTTGTACTCCTCTTACTCTGATTTAATTAGGCCATTACAAAGTGCACCTTTTCCACCTCTTTGGTGGAAAAGACATTCCTTGCCTGATTTCCAAAGCCGAACTCCTATGTATCTATCCCTTAAGAGCCAGGTCATTCATTCTCTCCAAGAAGTTATCTTCTAGCCCAGGGTCAGGTAAAGTCATTTAGAAGTGTTCAGAACTAAAAATATTATAGCAGCTCATGCCCATCCTCTATGTATAATTTAAAATAAAAATTATTAAATATATGTATAATATTAGGAGATCCTACCAAATTGTTTTTTCTCCATTTTGACTATCTTGAGTCTATTTTTGAAATACTAAATATTAGAAACTTTTAGGATATTTTCTTTTTAGTTTTGGAAACTTTCCATTGGCTTAAGTACATATTTAGTCTGCCTACTGAGTAATCTAGTTCTCCTGGGCCTTGTTTCCCCAAGCAGGGACAGGTGCCCCCTTCTGTTCCTTTGGACCACTTGGTTTACTGTCTCCACAATTGTGATCAAGTGTCTACACATTTTCTTCTCCAAACAACTGGAAATTCTATCACAGTAGGGGTTACCCTTCCCTCCATGGGCTCCTCAGGCACAGCTAAGGCTGGACCTGATGCATGGACTATAAATATCTATTGATAGAAAAATGATGAGATAAAGTTGGCCTTCCAGACATGTCTTCTTCAGGCTCAAACTCATTCATCAAAAATCAATAGGACACCTGTCGGAATCCAGACCCAGGGCTGGGAGCTTTCTTGACATCCTTCTTTCATTTCAGCCCCACTCCTTCAAGCTCCTTCCAGCACAAGGAAGGAGCCCACATAGTTCTTTTGGTAAAAGACCCACTTAGGGGTTGGGGATTTAGCTCAGTGGTTCTGCCACCTGCCCTGCAAGCACAAGGACCCAAGTTTGTTCCCCAGTACCAAAAAAAAAAAAAAAAAAGGCCCACTTAGAAATCTGAAAAAGCCACACTTTCCACAGAGCATATATAGTCTCACTCCTGTACATGTCTTAGTGACAGAATCAAGTATGCCTTTGACCAGTGTACTTGTACAGTGAACAATCTGCACAACTGTACATAAAGGGCATGCCCTTTGCACAGAGTGTCTAAGCCCTGTCTGACAGTATTTATGATACCGGGATGCAGGAGTGGGGAGAAATAGGCTGGAAATTTTGGGAAATGAGTTTCAGTAATACTCTGATGATGTCTCATCATGTGGTTTCAGGTAAGCTTCTACCTAACCTGGGTTTCAGTATCCTCAAATAAGGGATGGAAGAATAAAGTTCCATTGAAGTACTAAGAGGTGAGAGGTTCACCTCTCAATATTTCAGCTAGGTAAAGCTGAAAGGATGCTATTAAAGCTTCTTAGGGTGGTAATGATCATTTAAGGTCTTCTTATTCTTTACACTTGGGTCTCAAAGGGTAGGCATGACTGCAGTCTCTTTTCATGTCAACTCCTTTTGAAAGGAAGTAGAGTTCTGGGAATACTTTATGTGTAAATTCACACCTGCCTGTAATGTCATCTAAAATATCTCTTATTTTTACCTGATATATGACAGAAAATTTGTTCTTCTTGGGTCTTCCTATACGTCAAGGTACTATGCAAACTACCTTAGAACCCATCTCTCTTGCCCCTATTTACACTCTCTAAATACACTAAAGCCCAAAGGGGCCAAATACTTGCTGAGTGAAAACTGTACAAGTGTTGTTAAAAAAAAAAGACATGATAAGGAGATACAATATATGGCTAGATTTTTAGCTCTACCCCTGATTCATGGTAAGAAGTTGTGAAAGTAGTTTCAGCTCTCTAGGACTTAATTTCTTCTTGAAAATTTATAATACATATCTCAACCTCCTTTATAGGGGTACTGTAGGGGTTCAATGAAAGAAAGAAGGTGAATATGTTTGGAAAATGAAGTGTTATGTTTGTGTGAAGAACACTTTTGTAATAATAATGGCAACACCCCAGGAGGGAAACATTTGTTTTCAGAGATCAGAATTCTGATCTGTTCATATTTCTCAGGAAAGCACTATTTTAGTCACCTAATGAACACATCACATATCAAAGAATCTCTGCCTCATGGACCATTAGAGCTAGGAGGGTCCATACAGACAGATTATCAAGTTTCATTTGTAATGATAGATGGAGAAGTTGAGACATGTAAAGGAGGGGCATTTCTCCAGGTCCTGTAGAATATCAAACCTGAGTTAAGAATCCAGTCATTGACTTTGGGGTGCTGGGCTCTTACCTGTCCAATTCATCATCTAAGGGCTGGTAGTTGACTTCATAGCACTCAATTCTCTTTAGAAAGTCTTCCAGAACCTTTTCTCGGTCACAGTCTTTGTAATCAGGGCTGCCAAGTTTCACTTGCTAGGAGAAGGGAGAACACAGGGGCCATGGGAAACATTGGGAGACAGAAACTCTAACAGTATCTTTGGGAAGGGCCATCATAGATTACTGAGTACAACAGGTGAAGAAATTAAGACTCAGAGAAAAGTCTTGCCGAAGTTTACAAAATCAGTCTACTGAAGAGACTCTGGACCGTGTGACACCTCATTCCTAATCTCTATGTGGTCAAACAAGGATTGTTACATTATATTTAGTTCCAAAGAATACACTTGACTAAAAATTCATAAGAGGACTAGAAATTATGATCTGAGAAATGGATGAAGAGGAAGAAGAAATTTTGGCCAGAGGTAATCGTGGCTTACATGTATTGAGTTTCTACGGGGAGAAGTTGGTACACTGTCTTTGGATTTCTGAAGGACTGGCATCTCCTAATCCCCAAATACTCATATTTTCCTTCATATTCCCCATCTCATCCACCTGGTCATCTGAGCCTATACAAAATCTGGAAGTCATCCCAGATGCCTTTTTTATTATTCCTTCCCTCTTACCAGGCATCAAATCCTCTTCTCTCTTCTAAATATCCATTTTCACTTGCTTGTGCTCACTAGAGATTTGTGACTGATTATTCTGTCTATTGTCATATTACTTCAGATGTATTCATCATACTGAGAAACAGAAATATATTCCTAACATATACACCTGATCATGGCATTTTCCCGCTTAAATATTTCCTCATATATTTTAGGACAAAGTGTAAACTATGCTGGTAGGTGACTCATAACTTTTGATTGGGCCCGAATAGTTCCTTCATCCTCATCTCTTGCTGCTTCTCTATTCCTCCATACACTTTGCTTCAGTGAATCCATGCTACTTGTATTTCCTTGGATATGTTATACTTAGTATTTGCTATTCCCTCATTCTCATTCTTCACTTCAAACATTCTTATGTATTCTTCAAGATGTAGTTCAACTACTACCTCTATTTGGAATCTTTCCCTGACATACCTCCATGTACAATGTTAGATTCTTAGCCTCCTCTATTCCCTCAGCTCTATCTATATACATGTCAATCTCCTGCAATAGACTGTGAGCTCAAGAGAAGGACTCATATTTACCATTTATGTTTATCTATTGCTCAGAATGACCTAGCCCAGGTGTACGATCACAGCCCAGATTTGAATCAAAATTGAATGGACAAATAGATGAAGAGAGGAGTTGGACATACTTATACCCCAAGATGTAAAAATAGGACCAATGAGTGGATCTTACAGGAAGGCAATTTTCAGCTTGACTGGATAGCCTTTCTTAAAGTCAATGAGCATTCGGTCATTGGAGGTATGAAGAGAAAACACAGATAAACATTTATCTGACACTTCAATTATCTGATAGAGGGTTGAAGGAGATCACCTATAAGGTCTCTTCTCTTCCTGAGTTCTGATAATTTGATGAAGCTGGGAAAAACACGATGTAGTGAATGATCTAGTTCTAGACAACATGGCTAGAATCTAAGAGCAGTGATGGTTCTGATATTAATTGTGTAGAAGAATAAAGAACATAGGCTTTCAAAGCAGACAGCCAAGACTGAAGTGCAGTTCCACTTCTATTTTGTTTTGGTGGTAAGAGTCTGACAATTCACTTTTCCTCTTGGAACTTAAGTTTCCTCTCTCTAATACGGAAATTATCCCTAACATGCAGATATTGCTGTAAAAAAATTAATGACAGTCAAGTTTGCTGTGTGGTGAATATTAAGGACTCTGTATGGCTTAATCTAATTTCATAGGATCATTGTGGGCCAGGATGGTCAGGAAACGATTCCTGTGCAAAGTGGGAAGAGTACTTCAAGCAATAATACTTCCTTAATCTCATACAGGTCTTTTTAGGCACAGTCCAGGCCTAAGGAAGAGTAAGAAAAAGGTAACTGGTGCTCCTTACCTTGATATTTTCTGCAATGATGTCAGGGTCATTACAAATGGACTCAATGAAGAAAACCTATAAGAGAAAGCAAAAAGAGAATTTTAGGACTGGGGATTTAGCTCAGTATAGTAGAGCATTGCCACGCATGTGCCAGGCCCTAGGTTAGATCCTGGTACTGCAAAAACACAAAAAAACAAAAGATGGGGAATTATAGAAGGGGATTATGTATGGTAGAAGCCGAATATAGCTTGACCCCTTCTTAATGGATCTGAATCTTTCCCAGGGGTGTCCTCTGACAACACAATGTTCTCATACAATGGTACTTTCAGGATTCTGAGTTTTATGAGGCAATCTGCTTTAAATTGAATAGGCTCAAATTGATTGTTGTTTTGTGTTTTTACAAAATTTTCATCTATATCTAGATATAGATCTCTTCTCCATATATATATATATATATATATATATATGTATATGTGTATGTCTTTTATAGTGGTTCTTTCTACTCCATCATTGCTCCCTGCACCCCCTAGTGTAAGCCTATCAGCAATTATCTTTCACTGCCTAGGGTGGCACCTCTCCCTGCTTCTGACTGTATCCTGGAAAGCTGCACAACTAAATTAAGATGCTGAGCTATAGTGGCAAATTTGGTTGCTTTGAACACCACAGTTTGTCTTTCTTTGGGATTTATGCTGGAAAAGTAGGTTCTAGACAAGAGTGGAAGTTTGACTGTACCTTGTAACCATGTTCTTTAGCAAAATGTAGAATCAGTGACCGTCGTTCTCTGGTTGTGTTGGTGGCATCAAAAACCTAGAGATAGGTAATGAGGTTGGCTTACTGTGAGCTAGTGTTAACAAATCATCCTCTTTATCCATCCCTGTGCTAAGTGGAAGGTTTCCAGAGAGAGCAGAATTTCAAGGTCTTGAAAAAATGAAGGATTTGGAATTGCCTCATGTTAATTTCAGTCATTGAGACCTTAATGTCTGCTCAGTATACCCAACTTTGTGGATGAAATAAGGCAAGAGAAAAATTCTGAATTTTTATTAGGGCCATTTTACAGCAAAGTAAATGAGGCCTAGAAGGACTTGCTTTGGCCAAATCCACCAAGAGTTGCTGAGGTGTAGCACTAAAACTGGTCCTGAACTCACAAGTGCAGCTTCTTCCTTCCTTATCACCTTAGAAGTCCTCAGAACAAGAAACAATTCCCTATCCTCAGCACATTAGATCATTCAATTTACATATTTGAAGTTCTCTTGTACTTTTAAAATTTGCAAATCTTATCCCAAAGTTCTATGAGATTAAATCGCCTAGATATTTAGGTAAATGTCTAGAATTCAAAAATATTTGTAATGTAGTCTCAAATTCCAGTAATAGTCCTACTGAACTCTTGGGAGTGGACCAGTGGAGAGCAGTATTTATGAGAGGAGACTTTTTAACTGTATAATCTGGATTCCAGTTCTAGCCCTGCCATGTACATGTTATGCCACATTGGGAAATTATTCAATCTTTTTTTAAATTAATTTTATTAATACATTTTATTAGTACATTTTAGGTATACAATTCATTTACATTTATCATTGGGTGTTTGTACCTGTACATGATATATCTTGGTTCTTATTTTTTTCCCCATTACCTGTGCACCCTTCACCTCCTCCGCCCTTACCTATTTACATAGATTTCATTTCCATTTTGTTTTCTTTTCTTATAGTTTTTCCTTTCCCTCTTTTCCTTTCCCCTCCCCCTCCCCTCACTCCTTCATCTTTGGACCTTTTATCCTATTTCAAATTATCAATTATTCATTTTAATCATTTTAACCCTTGTTTACACTATCAGTTTCTCACACTAGTGAAACTATTCGGTATTTACACGTGTGTCATATTTATTTCACTTAAGAGTATGGCCTCGATATGCATCCATTTAGCTATAAATGACTCTAGTTTTTCATTCTTTATGGCTGAGTAGTACTCCATTTTATAAAAAAACCACATTTTCTTTATCCAGTTTCCAGTTGATGGGCACTTGGGCTGCTTCCAAACTTTAGCTATTACAAACTGTGCCGCTATGAACATGGGTGCACATAGGGAAATTATTCAATCTTTCTGTGAGGCATTCTTCCTGGCTCTAAAATGGGGCACAAAAACAATATCTGTCTCCTGAGGGGAGAGTAAAATTAAATTATTAACATAAGCAAAGTACTTAGAATAATTTACTTCACTGTAAACACTCAGTATATATTAGCTATTTTTCATTCCAGCATATAGTCAAGAAAAAATGGAAATTTCTTTACCGCAACATGACCTTCCTCATGGCTGAAATAGTTATGGACATCCTTCAGGGCTGCCAGAGCACACTGCCTAAAAATAAATCAGAGAAAGAAACAGAAAACCTCTATCCCCAGTATAGATTCTTCTTGCTTTATCTGTATTATCTTATGTACAAACTCTCATATGTCTTAAATTATTTATCTGTAAGACATCTATATAAGGTGTCCTATGTTTAGGCACCATGCCAAGCACAGAAGGGTCACACAGTTGAAATTGGCTCAGTGTACAGAGCAGTGATGGTCTTTTAGAGACCGAGTACCCAAAACCCACTTATTTATTGCAAAGCACCAAGACTGCAATTAAACCTGATTACTGAGGTTTAAATTTAGAAAAAACAACTCATACATTAACATCTTTTGTCTTAAAGGAAAAAACACAATTACAAAGCTTTCAATGATACAAATGGATTTTTACTGAAAGGTAAAAGTTTGCTTTTGTGTGCTGTTATCTAATGCTTGGCTGCTGAAGTGACTTGGCTTGCTTGTTGACAGAGGGTTGTGTGCCTGCTGCAGCATGCATGCCATAGGTTTGCCACCACAGGTGTACAGCTTAGGGCCATGTAAAAAGTGACATTCCCAGGAAAAAGTAAGTAATGATCATAGCTCTAATTTTAAGGGATTCAACCCTTAAGCAAATGGAAATCAAGTTCAACCCATTTATGAACCTAGCTAGGGCCTAGGTGTGTGATCTTTGAAGTTAAAGGTATTCCTGGCATGGCTAATATCATAAGCACAGGTATGACAGCAGCAATATATTTATGCTTTCAGCAAAAATCTCTTCAGTGATTACTGATTGCTGGGTTCTATGATGAGAATATAGATTAATAAATGAGACCTAGGCTGTCTGTTCTGGAAATGCTTAGAGTCATACAGGGGAAAGAAACCTTGAGGCTGAATTTATAAGACTGGAAAATAGAGTAAGCCAAGCTACTGAGATTTTCATCTCAAATGCTATGCTAAGAAGTTTATACTCTCTCCTGTCACAAGCAGGAGAATGTAAGAGGTTCTTGAGCAAAGGATGGTTAGGACCAAAACCAAGCTTTGGGTGGGATGACAGAAGGTCACCCTTTGAGAATCTAAAGGCTCTTCTCCCTGTCCCAGGTTACTCTTCCCCACTCCCCCAATATCTGAAGAAAGGCCTCCCTTAGTCAAAAGGCAGCAAGGCCCCTAAAATGTTGGGTACTTACTTTCTGATTAGTAGGGCCTCCATGTTGTCTGGGAGAAAAAATTCGTAGTTCTTGTAGCTCACTGCCTCTCGTCGATACTGTCCTAAATTAAACACTGAAAGCAGGTATCCCTAGTGAAGAGGTTGGAAAGATTCCAGTAGCCAAAAAAATTTCCTTGCTAGGAAGGACCTCAGAGGTAGAAAGTTTTGTTTTGTTTTGGTTTGGTTTTTGGTACAAGAGATCGAACTCGGGACCTTGCGCTTGCAAGGCAAGTGGCAGAACCACTGAGCTAAATCCATGGTCCAGAAAGTATTCTTTATAGATATAAAATGTATTTATACAGCTTCAAATTATGGTGACCAGCTCACTTTTTCCTCACAACAGCCCTCCAAGGTAAGGATCACCATTCCCACTTACAGATGAGGAAAATAAAGTTCATAGATAGGAAATAACTTTCACAGTTAATAAGTTAAGATTTGGGATTCAAATAATTTGGGTTCAAACTATTTTACTGTTTCATAAACTACAATCTTTCAAATGCCCTACTCTATCTGAAAGATGAAGAAATCAAGATCCAGGTAGTAAAATTAATCAATCACCAAGGGTCAAACTGTGAGTTTGTAACAGATAGACTGGGCCTCCTGATTCCAAGTCTAGTGCTATTTCATTTTTCTACATCATAAGGGATAATTTGAATCTAAATTTCGATTTCTAGGCTAAATTTTCCCAGTTTGTAATGGGTGAAAAATCCGAGAGGAGAGAAGGAAAGAAGAGGAAAGAGCATAAGCAACCATAGAAGTAATTTTTCACTCATTCATTAACAAATGCTTTTTGGAACTTTTCTTCCTATTTTGCATTATCGATTATTCATTCTAATCATTGGTACATTTTAGGTATACAATATAATGACATTCATCATTGGAAATTTGCACCTTTACATAGTCTCTCTTGGTTCTTATTTTTCACCCTTGCCCAGCCCTCCCTTCAACCCCTCCAATCCTCCCTATTTACAAAGATTTTGTTCCTATTTTTCCATTTTCTCATATTAATCCCATTCCCTTCTATCCTTTCCCCTAGACCTCCACTTCCTTCCCCTTTGCCCCTTTTCTTCCTATTTCGCATTACCTATTATACATTTTAGTCCTTATTTACACTTTCAGTTTCTCACACCAGAGAAACTATTAGGTATTTATACATGTGTGTCCTATTTATTTCACTTAATAGTATCGCCTCAATGTGCATCCACTGAGCTATAAATGTCTCTAATTTCTCATTTTTTATGGCTGAGTAGTACTCCATTTTATAAAAAAACCACATTTTCTTTATCCAGTTGATGGGCATTTGGGCTGTTTCCAAGTTTTAGCTATCACAAACTGTGCTGCTATGAACATGGGGGCACATATATCACTGTGGTATGATTCTTTTAATTAACAAATGCTTTTTGATGCTTACTATGTGAGGTAGGAAATTTGAGTTCTGGTCTCAGAGAGCAACTAGATATTCATGATGGGAATCTTAAGGAGCTCACAGTCCAACAGGTAGGATAATGAGTAATCCAGTGAATGGAGAGCTCCCACACAGTTTGCTAGGTGATCTAACAGAGACAATATGGAGCCATGCAAAAGAGTGAGGGAAAAGGAAAGACAAATTCCATTTAGGGTGATATGTGAAGGCTTCCTAGAGATACCAGTATTTGAACTAGGGTTCTTAGAGTAGGTGCCTGTTATAGGTGGGTATGAGGGTGAGGATGGGGGAAAAGGTATTATAGGCAGAGGAACAGTTTGAACAAAGAAATAGCATTGGTAGAAGGTAGAGCCTGTTTGGAGGATGAGGAGTCATCTACTGTAAGTGGGGCCTGAGAGACTAGAAGAAGCTAATTGTGGAAGGTCTTAAATGAAAGGCTAAGGAACCTGGTTTTAAACCTGCAGGCCAAGGGGAGGGACCCTTGGACACTCTGACCATGTCAGCCTTGTGTTTTGAAATATGACTTTGGGGGCCTCTGTGAGAAATGAGTAAAGTGCAGCAGACAGGAAGAAGGGGATCAGGGCAGAGACGCATTTGCCACTGTTCCATGTGCTCCACCATTCAGCAAAGGCTCCTCAGAACTTGTAGTCCTCCATGAAAGTAGCTCCTTCTTGACTTTCTTTTTGCTAATGTCTACCTTCTCCAAAAGAGCCAACACAAATATACTCTACCCAGGAAGCTTTTGCTGCTTTCTAGTTAGAAATGGCTGCTGTGAGTCCCCTCAACATCCTGCTTGAACATTCTTAGATGATGTAAGGTATTATTATATATCCCAGCCAGGCTGAGAACTCAACAACAGGGTATAAGTCTCATCCATTTTTTTCATCCCTAATACCTGGCATGGATTTTGGACATGGAAAACCAATGGGAAACTCTTTGCTTGTGAATTAGGTAAAGAGAAAGTAGATGAAGGGAAAGAAGAAATAAGGGAAAAGAGGAAATTTGGGGATGTTGGGTATAGCTTAGTGACAGTGTGGGCTTATCATGAATGAGGCCCTGGGTTCAATCTGAGAGAGGGAAAAAGAGAAGAGAGAAGAAGAAAAAGAGGGAAAAGAGAGGAGGAGAAGAAAAGATAAAAAGAACTTGAAGAGGGGGAGGGAGGGATGAATGAAGAGGGTAGATAGGACGCTGGGATGGGCAAAAGAAAGAAAAAGGAAGAGAATGGAGAGAAGAAAAATATAGGACAAATACGGGATTCTTTTATTTTTGCAGCAGCAGAGCTATATATTAGACTTGGCACAGTGAGTGTCAGACTTGGAATCAAACATAACTTGGATCTGTCACTTACAGCCATGTGCCTTTATACAAGGCACTTCACCTCCTCAGATTTAATTTTTTCAACAACAAAATGCTGAAGAAATGATAAATGCTAATAAAAATAGTAATACTGGTGTGGCAGTAATAGCAATGGTAATAAAACCGTATGTTACCTGGAGGGTTGTTTTGAAGTTACTGGATCTTTTGAGAACAGACATTTATTCTTAATACTAGTTTTCCTATGCGTACCATGCAGCATAGAGTTGGGCACAGAATGTGTGGTCAAGAAATTGTAAAATTTGTAAGAATATAGTGACACTGGTATTGTATAAGCAGTAATAGTAGTAATAGTGGTAGTAGCAGTTCTAATCCTAGTAATAATGGTGATGAAGCAGTTTTGGTACTGAAGGTCTTGGCCTCTTACCTTACTCAGTTTTCAGCTAGTGGCCTAAAGTTGGGCTGTAGAACAAAGGGCTTCAGAGACATACCTTTAGTTGGTGTTCCTATCCAATTGAGATATCTTGTGAGCTTCGTGGAGATATAGGTCTTGCCTCGAGCAGGTAAACCCACCATGATCACCATTGTGGGAGAATTGGTAAACTGGGGTATGGATGCTGGAAGAGAAACAGAGGCTCAGAAGTCTATCCCCATACTTATATAATCTTCTGGCATCAGCTCAGAGATGTAGAATTGCAAAGGGCAACTCTCCCACCATTATAAGAAAAAAGCTAAAATATTTCAAATTAATGATTCTTGAACTGATCAGAAAACAGAAGTTACAGTGAAAATAGCTAGTGGAAAACCTGTAATAACAGGCATCTTCAGGGAGCAAGAGGACTCATATTTGTATACTGCTGAATAACAAAAACTCTTAAGAAGATTTAGCTACAAATCATTGATGTATTGCCAAAAGCAATTTGTGGGCCAGGGTGAGAATGTGAAGCCTGTAAGGGCTAAAGACACAGGTAGTTTTAAAACCTTTGGCAGTTTTCCTCCAGGAACACAGGTGTTGACAGGGAAGACTGAGAAGAATCCTGAGAAAGATAACTGTGTAGTTCTCAATTGGGTGGGGAATACAATAGCCACTGTTGAAATACTACCTAACCATTTTGCTTATATTCCCTATGAAACAAAAGGCTTAATATACAAGGGAAAAAGCACAAAACCTGCAGCTTGAGAGCACTAGTGGAAACTCACTGCAGCTGGCAGTGCAATGGCCAGTACACTGGAATAGTCCAGACCAATCTACTCTATCTCCCCTGAGAGGGAAAAAACCCTTAATCTACAAAAGGAAAGACAACAGAAGTTGAGAACACTGGTGGAAACTCACTACAGCTAGGAGAGAAAAACTGGGGAAAACTTCTAACTCAAGAGGGGCAGGAAAATGTGCAAGGCCTACCATTACATTTGGAAGTGGAGCAGCACATCTCCAACATTCAGGGTAAGCCTGCCTTAGACTGAGTCTCAGCCAGAATAACAAAGAATGACCTCATCTCCATTATCATTACTGGGCTAAAAGGCATCATTAAAGACAGTAGTGAAATGTATCTATAAGAGATAAAAAAGATAGACTGTCTCCAGGGAGCAGCACAAAGGGAAGAATCCAGGCCACAAGAAAAAGTCTAAAGAGACAAAGCAATCATCAGGATCAGACTCAGTTATGATACAGATGTTGGAATTATTAGACATAGAGTTTTAAAGTTATGACTAATATGTTAAAGGGTGTATTGGAAAAAGTAATCATACAAGATAAGATAGCTAACTTCAGTATGGGGATGGAAAATGTAAGAAAAATTCAAATGTTAAGTGCAAGAGAAAAAAATCAAAGGAAAAAAAGTAAAGCCAGGTGTGGTGGCACGCCTGTAATCCCAGTACTCTGGGAGACTGAGCGGGAAGAGAGTAAGTTTAAACTCAGCCTAAGCAATGTAGTGAATTAACCAGACTCTGTCTTGAAATTAAAAGAAAAAGGCTGAGGATGTAGCTCAGTGTGAAAGTTCTGGGTTCAATCCCCAGTACTGTAAAACAAAAAGTGTAAAACATCCAAGAACTTTGGGACAATATTAAGAAGTATAATATACATGTACTTAGAATCAGACAGGGAATTGAGAAAGAGGCAGAACAAATATTTGGATACACAGTGGCTGAAAATTTCTAAAATTAGCAATGGACACTAAACCATAGATCTAAGAAGCTCACAGAATACCAAGCATGGTAAATATAAAAGACCACAGAGACGTCAAATTTAAATTGCTGAAGAATCGGGCCAGCAGGAAGGAGAAGGTAGGTGGAGAACAGCTTATACACAGAGAAACAAAGAAAAGAATTATACTAGATTTCTCACCAGAAACCACATAAGCAAAAGGATATGGAGCAAAGCCTCTGGTGTAGAAGAAAAAAATCCCAATCCAAAATTCTAAATTCAGCCAAAATATCCTTCAAAACCGAAGGGAAAACAAAGACTTTTTCAGAAAATAACAGAAAATCCATCACCAGTACACCTGCGTTACAAGAAATACAAAAGGAAATCCTTTAAGCAGAAGGGATATGGTATAGGTCAGAAAATTGGATCTACATAATTAAAAGGAGAGTATTGGAAAAGAAACAAATAAAGTCAAAATATAACTTTTTGTTTTTCTATATTAATTGTCCTAAAATGTTACTGACTGTTTAAAGTAATGATAGAAAAAATGTGTGTTTTATAGTATATGTGAAAGTGCAATGTAATACACCAATGATAGGAAAGAGTAGGAAGATGTGGGGATATTTTGTTATGCTTTCACTACATATAAAACAGTATAGTGTTATATAAAAATGTACAAATGATAAGTAAATACAAGTGATAAAGTGAAATCACAAAAATGATTAAATATTCAAAATTCTTTCTTCTAGCTTTCTAAAAACTACGCATTATTGTTATCTATAGTCACCCTACAGCTCAATAGTGCACTAGAGCTTCTTGACACTATCTAACTACAGCATAATACCTGTTAAGGAACCTTCCCCCATGGCTCCCTTCCTTTACTTGCTCCAGCCTCTGCTAACCACTATTCTACTTTCAATTTCTATGAGATCAACTTAGATTCTATATATGAGTGAAATCATATGGCAGTTGTCTTTCTGTGCCTGGTTTATTTCTGGTACTCTATAAATATATAGTTTTAATATATCAGTTAAGATTTCACAATGATGATATTCAATGAGATAATAGAAACAAAACAAATACGACTAGGAAATAGAAGAGCAAATATAATGAATAGAAAACAGCTTGTAAGGTGGTAGATTTTAATCCAATTTTATCAATAATTACTTTCTTTTTTAATCCTTTTATTGGTACATTTTAGGTGTACAATATAATGATATTCATCATTGGAGATATGCACCTTTACATAATCTCTCTTGGTTCTTTTTTTTTTTTGCTCCCTACTCCAGCCCTCCTTCAACACCTCCATCCCTCCCTATTTACAAAGACTTTGTTTCCATTTTTTCATTTTCTCATATTAATTGAATTCCTTTCTTTCCTTTCCCCTACCCCCCCCCACTTCCCCCTCCCCTTTGCCCCTTTTCTTTCTATTTCACATTTTCTATTATACCTTTTAGTCCTTATTTACACTTTCAGTTTCTCACACTAGAGAAACTATTCGGTATTTACACATGTGTGTCCTATTTATTTCACTTAAGAGTATCGCCTCAATGCGCATCCATTTAGCAATAAATGTCTCTAATTTCTCATGTTTTATGGCTGAGTAGTACTCCATTTTACAAAAAAACCAAATCTTCTTTATCCAGTCTCCAGTTGATGGACAATTGGGCAGTTTCCAAGCTTTAGCTATTACAAACTGTGTTGCTATGAACATGGGTGCACATATATTGCTGTGGTATGAATTCTTTGGGGAAGATACCCAGGAGGGGAATAGCTGGGTCAAATGGGACCTCTAGTCCTAGTTTTTTGAGGTATCTCCATACTGATTTCCATTTGGAAACTCATCTAGCAAGAAGACCTTCATCTCAAGTCCTAAACTGACCACTAGATGATGCACACACAGGACTGACATAAATACACTGTAGTACTAAGGCAAAAGCTTTGGAAATTGTACTGATGTTGGAACCACAATACATAAAAAGCTAAAACAAAAATGTCAACCTTATCATAAACAAGATTCAGGATTTGTGTGTGTGTGCCGGGGATTGAACTCAGGACCTTGCGGCAGAACCACTGAGCTAAATCCCCTGCCCAAGATTCAGAATCTTTTTTTTTTTTTGGTACCAGAGATCGAACTCAGGACCTTGCATTTGCGAGGCAGGCAGCAGAACCACTGAGCTAAATCCCGGCCCCAAGATTCAGAATCTTAAAGGATACAAACTAAAATAAGCCAGTGCTTCTTCTCCCCTCAAGGTCCAGTGTGAATGAAGCCTTGATCAGAAGATAAAAATAAAACAGATACTCTGAATTAGTCACCAAAATTGAATCTATAATTTAATATCTTTCCAAAATTCCTCATGCCAAGATAGTTTCATGGACAAATTTTATTACACATTTAAGGAAGAAATAATATCAATTCTATATAATCGTTTCAGGAAAACAGAAGACAAGAAAACACTTAACAACATATTCCATTAGCCCAGAATTATAGTGGTATCAAAATTTAGAAAGAAAATTCAGTGCTCACTTTGGCAGCACATATACAAAAAGAATATGCAAATTAAACTTTATGCTTCATGATACAGCAAGCAAATTCTTTAAAAAATGACCAATCAAATCTGATCATATACAAAATAGGTAACATAACACAACCAAGTATGGTTTATCCCAGTAACATAAGATTGATTCAATATATAAAAATCAAAGTAATTCATCCTAAAGAAGTAAAATTCCACACTATATCAACACATGATAAAAATCCTTTTGGCAAAACACAACATCCATTCATGATGGATGCTTTCAGTAAGCTATGAATAGAAGAGAGTGTTCTCAATCAGATAAAAGATATCTACAAAAAATTCTACAGGTAACATCATATTTCATGTTGACAGACTAAATGCTTTCTTCCTAATATCAGAAACAAGGCAAGGATGTCCATTCTCGCTATTCCATTCAACATAGTACTAGAACTCCTAGTGAATACAATAAGTCAAAAAAGGAAATAAAAGGCATATAGATTGGAAAGGAAGAAACAAATCTGTTTTGGTACACAGTCAACCTGATTGTCTATGTAGAAAATCACAGGAAATTTATAAAATTTCTTCCTAGAACAGATGAATTTATCAAGTTTGTAGGATACAATGTTAATACACACATCAGCCATATTCCTATATGTAATCAATGAAAAACTAAAAACTAAAAGTAAAAGGTCATTTTTATAATAGCTCTAGTAAGGTAAAAATAGATATAATGCTAACAAAATATATACAATCTGTTTTATGAAAACTACAATATGCTGTTGAAAGAAATCAAATAACTAAATAAATAGATAGATTCTGGATAGGAAATGGATAGGAAGACTCAAAACAGTAAAGATGGACATTCTCTCCAAAGTAACCTATAGCTTTGTCACAATACCAATGAATATTTCCACTAGGATTTTTCTATAGACAAAGTGATTCTAAAATGCACATG